ACACGACAAAAACAGAGTTCTTATGGTTATTTGATAGGAAGTATTAAGAAGTTCCCTTGACCAATAACATACATGTCTAATCTCAAAAGATGAGATATAAAGATCAAACAACATATTCTTGATTTACGAATCTGAAAGACGTGAAAAAACGGAGCCAAAGCATCAGCTTATACCTCCTCAAAAGTGTACCCTTGACCAGCGTTACCAGTACCCAATCTTGACCTTCCAGCAGTCCCCTCCTCAACTCCTTTTGCTCCAGGAATAATCTGACCAGCGCGGGCTGCCTGATTTTCATCTGGTCTGACTACCGATGATGGTTTTGCAGGAGCAGAACCAATTTCTTCTACCTTACCAGGAGGACCAGCCTGAGGCTTTTGCATATTAGCATCAGCATTTCTTTGTGCACCGCCACTAAAGCGAGGCAGCTGTGCTCTCCGAAAGAAAAAACAGAAAAGTAAAAGCTGGCACAGTCTGTGAAGGAAATGGCAGTCCCCAATAAGCCTAACGGCTGGGGTTCCCGGAAAAGTTCCAGTGTTAATGCTAATAGGCATGAAAGATGATGGACCACTTATTGGGTTAGGAGCTGAACTGGATACTCCATCGGTGGTGCTGCTAATCTTTGCAATAGCACCCTGTACCCAAGCTTGCATCTGGGTGCTTCCTGTAGAATTTGTTGTGCCACTTTGCCCCCCTGAGAAACATGGCATTACAATCTTAAGAGAATTGTCGCAGTGAAGCAATGGCAAAACACGCCACACACAGAGAATACTGGCGAGAATTCAAAGTGGCAGTTTCCCATGACATCAAACAAAATGGTGAATTGTGATTAGTAAGAGCTTCTGACAATTAAATTGTTTGGAGTTGGGGAAATTATATCCTAGCTGACGAAGTATATCATATAGTAGAGCTTGATGGTCTTGTGTGAAAATCACTGTAATAAGACTAAGCTTTAGCATATTTATTGAATCAAAGTACTAATGCACACTAACCCTGATTTGTCGCAGGAGATGCAGCGTTTTGAGTAGGACTAGCCACCATATTGCGATTACTTCCAGCACCTGCAGTAACAGCATGACTTGCCAATGTGCGACAGAAACTTGCATAGCGCCTCAAGCGTGTAATGAAATGTGAAGCTAGATCAAGAACTGCATCAACATAAGCCTGCATCACATGTAAATAATAGGGAAAAAGAACGGAACAAATCAGCATGAAAAGACAATATGAGATGACAAAGCCCAATCATTAGGACACCGACATCAGCAATAATCAGCAACCAACCCTAATGGGTAAAAACAAAGTGAAACATAAAATGGAAATTTCAGATAAATGGTAAACCTGAATACTAGAAGCTAGTGCTGGTTCAACAGCCATTGCTTCGGGATCAATGCCAGACAAGGTTTCACCAGATGCTTGCCATGGCTCTGGCACCAGAGCAGAAGGATTTACCAAAGCTGATTCAATTCCTTTCCCAAGCATATCTAGTAACAACCTAGCTTGCATATCTAGAACCATAGCCCGAACTTCTTGAGCATTTGTACCTTCCAAAAGTCTGCATTTTATCCTATCGAGACTCTGCATTGATAGCATTATATTTAGAAGAACTATACCCAGTTAGAGAATCCCAAAGATAAGAAGATTTAAACTTACAGGACCGTACTGTTGCCTATGCTGGGTTGAAGGAAGGGAATGAAAATCAGCATCCAAGACTGCTATAACACTGTTTAATGAAACTGCAACAAAAAAGAATGGAGGTCATACTGGCTACTACAGATTACTTGTTAGAAACAGAAATAGACACATCACGTATTTGAGATTTTTAATTCGAAATGTGTTTTGATTTATTCTCATTTAATCATGACATAATACTAACAATCAAAAAAACTTCTTACCGATGCCATCCTCAGCAGCACTTTGTGTACAACCAACAGCATCCCACCAATCAACTCCAACCATAAGGCTCCACCAAAATCTGCTCCAATAAAACAAAAGGAGATCATTTCATTGCAAAACATCAAAATGATGCAGTCAAATGGTCTTTACAAATTTTGATTGAAGCTCTATGACTTTTTTTTAAAAAAAAAGGATAATCACTTTTGTAAAGTACCTCTCAGCAATTGCACGTTCCCAGGTTGATGAGTTGGCCTTCTCTTGGCTGCTTGGCACAGCAGGGGGAAGAACACGGATAATCTTCAAAAGGGTACGATCCTTGCAGGTGTCATGCCAAACAGAAGCAGAGCAGCAGCTAGTTGATGAGAACGCAGGAGCAGCAATTGCAGACCCAACATTTATCTGGTAGTTATCAACAGCTGAAAAGTTGGGGCCAGAAAAAATATGGACCCCACCTCGGAGAAAAGCAGCAGCAATTTCACCACCATGAGCAGAATAGACAATTCTAGCAAGTGTTCTAACATCACTTGGCAGATCAAACGGATCAAAACTAACTCGTTTTGCCTTCTCGACACTAGAATCAGATGTCTTTTTTACATCGGAAGTTGGTCCTGTAGCCGCTGCTTGATGAAACTTAAAATCATTGGTTGGTGGTATGCTTGTATCCACCTTGGATACCCAAACTGTTTGCATAGGTGCTTGCCCACCAAAACTGGAAGTTGGATTTCCAAATATTTGATGGAGAACAACAGGCTGCACAGAGGATTCCCATCGTTGCACTCTCCATCCCGTTATTGAAGGACCCTCATCAGGATCATAAGGGGACATGTACTGTCCTGCATGGTGAAATCACTAATGACATGTCAAATAATCCACATAAGCAAGCATCTTGACAGACAAAAAATCAACCTCTAGGCAAAGCATAAAAAGGGAACAAAGGGCTAGGAACGTTTAATTTATCATACACACAACAGTATAGTTAGCATTACATTTCTTTCTTTTCGTAACATTATGAGAGAAACCAGAACACGGCAATGACATCCGTGAAGTACACTAACCAATGGTGAGAATCCCTTGTCAAAGTTTACTACATACAGGATATAGACAATTTTTTATAACTGAATTCAAAAGATCCTTTGAACAAAGAATACAAGTTAGTACCCTCAACTATGACAACAGCTATCACAGAACCACCACGTGTTGGATCAAAGGCAATAGCAGTAACTCCAGAGCCCCATGTAGTAGTTGTGGCAGATTGAGCAGCGGCTTCAGGGCTAACATATGCAGAAAAGTTTGAAACTGGAGAGCAATGAAGTTGTACAACATCATTGACATTTGGATCTGTCTGCTTTTTTTCATTCTTCGTTTCAGATAGTAGATACTCTTGCCAGCTAAACAAATATGCAGCCAAAGGAGAAAAACCTGCCCAAGCAGGTGGATTGATTGAAGGTGGGACTCCATTGCTTGTGGCTGTCTTTGGAATTGTCTGAAATCCATTTCCCGGGCCAGGAGACACCTCCCAAACAACAACAGTAGATGGGTTTACTATTGGAACACCTGCAACATGCATAGCTCCACTATCTGTAATGATAGCATCAGCAGCCATGATTCCACTAGGTCCTGCACCCAAGAGTCCTTTACTCGTACAGAACCACTTTGCTGGAGAACTACTTTGATTAGGAGGCCACTGAGACCAATGAAGTTGGACAGAACCAGAAGAGAAAACGGAACAAACACAGAGGAAGTTAGGCCACCTAGCTGAAGCGAAAACAAAGTATTGAATTAGAAATGAAGTAAAAGTACAACCATAAGAGGTTCAGAAAAGGAGAAACAAAATATAATTTAGAACTGAGGTTCTGACCCAAAATATCATCATCAGTACTGTGCGTAACACAACAAAAAAGCAGTTAAAAATGGTTTCAGTTAAAGTTGATTATTTTCCAACATAAGCAACAGACCTGAATTTTGAGAATGCTGTGAAAGAAATTTTTCCTCAAAAGTTGACTTTGAATTTGAGGTGGAACTGGATTTTGAGGACAGCCACCTATACTGGTTCATCAGAGTAATTAACAAAACATAAGAATTCAGAAGTTTATAGTTTGCCAGAAGAAGAAAAAGCATCTTCCCACTGCACAGGGACAACTACTGCAAAATGGAAATTTTCTTTGCCTGCAGTTTATCCTGTGAAAATACTGTGTAAATTTTTCGTTCCGCAAAAAAAAAATGTAAAAATAAAAATAAAACAAAAAAAATCTCATAAAGTAGTGAATTTTAACTTACAGTATGAACAATATTTGAGAGAGGATAATCAAAACCAGAAAATACTCAGTATTTTGAGCTAACTACTTAAGCACTTGTTTCAGAAATTAATTAACAAAAATAAAAATATACATAATAATAAAAATCTACTCTCCAAAAAGCGTTAGTTCAGCTGCATTTTTTCCTTTGTAATTGGAAGTTGATCTAACTGATGAAAACAGAAGGGGGGAAAAAAACATAAATATGGAGAAAATTTGCACCCATATGTATGTAAACAATCGAAGTACAAATTGTTTTAATGCAAGATAGTAGCAGACAAGGAACTGCTTACCGGAGACACCCCTGATAACCACTTTGTAACAACTGCAATGTCCTGTCTCCATTCATGTTCACGTTGCCAGGAGGTAGCATCACGTACTAGATTAGTTGGACCCTGGAAGTAGAACCGAAGGGCGAAGGGTATTTGATTAGAGAACCGTAACAACATGCCATATACGTACACACATGCATGATCCAAAGAATACAGCAAAAGGATGTCACGGGTGGAAGCAAATTCTAAACCTAACAGTTTGGCCAATACTGAAAAATCCTTTTTGAGAATGTTTTCGGAGGAAATTCATGCATGTAAGTCTTTCGTGAAACCATGTAGCAGATCTTAGCTTACTTGAGAAGGCTGAGTCCATATAGTCACCCTCCCGTGGAAATTAGCAATTAGTAATGCACGAGGAGAAGATGTAGGGGACCATTCAATAAACTGAACAGAATCACGAGGAGAGTCTGCAAAATATGTTCAACATAACACAAAAATCACAAATTACAATCAACTTAAATAAATAGAAGTAGTTAAGCACATAATAGCCAATTAAAAGAGCTGAACACAGTACAAAGGAAGCAACTACTCTCATCCCAACGAATCTAAGAATAAAGTCATGTGTTAACCTATGTCTTTGAGGATGCTTATAGAAGGCCGAGCAAAAATTCAGAATTTCAGATCCCATGATTCTACATGCACCTAGCCTAGTTGTCAGATATATTCATTCAACAAGTTGAAGCACGAATGCATGAGCAGGCAAAGCATTGAAAAGAATAAGTTTTCAAAAAGAAGAACGGTGCCTCCAAATACCTGCTACAACATTAAACACTTGACATTCAGTTGGTCGCTCTGGGATGACAATATGAATGGGGATCCAAAATGGTGTATTTGCATTGGAACTGGCAAAAGGAGAAAAAAAGAGCAATTAAGATCATGAAAGCAGTCAAAAAGAAGAATAACAACAACTAAAAGGGAAGGGATTGCAATTTATTAATGTATAGTATGATGAAGAAAGAGACATTTTCTCACAAGAGAGATACCAACAAAGTTTCTCAACGGCAAATTTCAATAGTTTAGGAATGTATATATGTACATGCCGCATACATGGGAGGACACACATTTGTCAAGTTGGGGGAATCGCGCAGATGATATTAGTGGCCACAAATAGTCTGAGTAAATGAACAAACTAAGCCAAACCTTGGAATTCTCGCACACGTTTCTGATGCGCAAGCAATAGCATTCAACTTCCCACACCAGGCAACAGCACTGAAACAAGCAAATGTACTGTTGATAAGTATGGAATTACTTCATCACTTAAAGAAACATTAATTAAAATGCATAACAAGTTTGTTCATTAAAAATACAATTTTAACGCACCACTTCTTATCTTTCCCATTAATGAAGAGAACCTAGGTAGTCTTCAATTGCAGAATTTTCTTATTTCATACAAGCCCACAAAGCTCAGAAGTAGCATTCATGGGAAATAAGAATAACATATCAACTAAGGTCCACGTGAAAAATTAATAACGAAGAAGAATTAGAACATGATAATTTTGTTTTTCCGGGAACTGCCTATCCTACTCTCTTCTCTCTCTATCTACTGCAGACTATTTTCCTCGCTCGCTCCCAAAATTACTCCTTTCACAATCTTACTCTCTCTATCTTGCACGTATGTTTTTGACCAAGTTTAACCATATCCAATTGCTCTATCTCCAACCTTGCACTCAACAATATATATATATACATATATACATATATATATATATATGTATGTATGTATGCATGTATGTATATATATGTAAAGCTTAAAATTTCATCCACGAACTCAAAAATCAGAGTCTCTCAGCTCGCAAAGCAAGCAAAAGCGCACCTTTTCCCCCTTTTCCCCTGATTTCTACTTCCTATACAAGAGCACATTTCAAAACCACTCTCGAGGCCAACAATTCACACAAATTGAACCCCTCAAAAAAGAATACCCTGCGAATTCCACACATTGGAGCTGGAATTCCCCTGAATCTCACCTGAAATTGCGACAGAGCTCGGGGACGCTCATCTTGTGTAGCAAATTGGACCTGGGCTGCTTGAGCCGGATGCAGAAGACGGCGGCGGGGCTGACGGAGTCCTCCTCCATGGGATCGCCCGCTGGAGTCTCCACGGCGTCTTCGTCGGCGTCGGCCTTGTCGGAATCCTCAAGAGACTGAGCCGCGGGCTCGGCTTCCTCGGCGTCCTTAGAGCCCGGTACTTGGTTCTGATTCATAGCCGAAAAAACCTAGAATTTATATATATACACAATAGAATTGATGAGAGAGAGAGAGAGAGAGAAGGGGAGAGAGAGAAAGTGGTGGGAAAGTCGCAATTGAGGGCGACAGATATCCTGTTATGTTAGAGAGAGAGTGGGGTAAAGGGAGGAGAGAGAGTGAGTGGGTGACGAGTGACGAATGACGATTTGGGTTTTGGCTTTTGTCTGAGCCTTTAATTTGTTTTCTTTTTAGGGTTTTTCCTATTCGCCCGACTCGTGCTCGTGTGGCACCAGATTCCGCATTTCCAGATCGCAACTGTGTCTGTGTTCCGAGAGCTTAGTGAAGTCATGTCTTGCATCTAATTCCTTTTTCTTTCTTTTTTTTTCTCAGAAGGAAAGAGGTTTAATTCATAAATTTAAAATTATTTTTATTTTATGTATATTTTTTATAAAAAATAAAATATTATAAAAAATTATAAATTATAATTTAAAATTAAAAATGAATATAAGAAATAAACATCTTCTTAATTCTCATTTCACATCCTAATACTCATGTCAAGATATTTTTTTAAAATAATAATAATAACAAGATGGGATGAAATTCACAATCTTTTAAAAAGTTTCGCTAATTAAATCTATGACACTACACAAAAAATTTTAGACCTAATGCTATATCAAGTTAATTAGAATATTTTACCAATTAAAATTTCGTACTACATCAACTTTTAGTTATACAAATTGGATTGTTTTTTATGGATTAAGTTAAATTACTTTAATGACAAGAAACGAGAAGGAACGGAAGGGTGGATCCCTTGTCTTCTTACCCCTGTTTTTCTAGTTTATTTTATTAATTCTGAAATTGACCCTTGAACTTACATTAATCTCACTATGGTCGTTGAAATTTAAAATTTTTCTAAATATATTACTCAGTTCTATAATCTATAATTATAATACATTAATCTATAATTAGTCAAACTATTTTGACCATCTCTAAGTGTTAAACTATGACCGGTGAAAATAACTTATGGGATTTAATGAGTTTGACGTGTGGTAGATCACCACATGGAATGCGTGCCATATGCGGTATGCCCACTCTTGCAAAGAGTTGTTGAATCTCTAGAGTCAACGATTCCCGTTTGTTTCGTTTGAATTTTTTTATTTGACTAAAAAAAGTTTGAATTGTGTGCCTTAAATAGTAGTTTAAATTAGTATTTGCATGTGTAATTAAAATTTAAATCTGGACATAGAATAAAATTTATATTTATATTTAATAAGTGTAAAGAGTAAAAATATTTAATATATTTTTATTATTTAAAAATAATTTAAACGATTAAATTTAAAAAGAGAGTTAGATAATAAAAGTTCATAGAGTGGTTTTACATAAAAGGAGAGTTGCCAAGCTAAGTGGTACTGGAGCTTGGCGATGGTGAGGTGGGACATGTGGTGGACGATGACGGTGGGTTGTGTGGTAATACGAGTAAAGCAATTGCAGTCGCATGGAGCACTAAGGTTCCGTTTATTTTACCGATTTGAGTTTAAAATTTAAGATTTGTAACAGTAAAAAGCTCTCAGAAACAGTCACATCTAACTTTTTTGCTACAATGAAAAATTTCTCATATAAAGTCATATCTAAACTCGAATTAACGAATTAAACGGACCATAAAGATGGAAAACCCTCCCCGCCCATACCCTATTTTCTTCTTAAAGGGATGCGTGGCGGGTTGGGTCTTCACAATTTTGGGAACGCACAGATTCATCGTAAACTGTATTTACATAATAATAAATAGATGATTAACAACGATAATTAATATATGACTAAGTTCTAAATTTTAATATTAAAAAGTACATACATGAATTAAAATAAAAGTACATACGTACTATAATATATATATATAAGTGCATGAAAAATAACTACTGACGTATAAATATAATGGAACACTTTTTCATTTATTTTTCTATAAATCTGAATCTGGCCCGAAAATCAAATTTAACCCACGTCATTATGATCAGGAACTAACGAGTGATGAATTTTTTTTTTTTTTGTCATTCTACGGTAGGCTAAAATCAAATTAAATTAAAAAAATATATAAAATAGATAATTTTTTATACATATAAAAATTAAACATATTTTAATAATTTATTTTTACCTACCCGAACAATCTTTCTTTTTTTTTTTTTGGTTTCCAAATCAATTTAAGCCTTTGATGTGGGGTCCTGGGGATTGCGGAGACGGGAGAAGAGCAGACAACAAAACATCCCCCTCTCTCTCTATAATTATTTTTAAACTTCTCTGAAACGACATATCGTATCCATGAATCAAAGGAACATGACCTTCACATGAAATTAAACGACATAACGTATTTTACAAACAAAATGGCATCCCGTTCGTTTAATTAACAAAGCCTACTTGTCGTTGGCAGTACTCGCCGCCGTTTTTGGTCTAAAAAGCAAACGACTTGTCTTACTCCATAATATAGATACAGTTATGCATCAAATGCAACTTTTGCAAACCCCGAGCCCGTTTAGTTAGTTGATTCGAGTTTTTAATTTGAGTTGAGATGTGACTTTATGTGAGAGTTTTTTACTGTAGTAAAAAAGTTTGACGTAACTGTTTTTGAGAGTTTTTTACTCTAACAAAACTCAAATTATAAACTTAAATTGGTGAAATGAATGAGGAAGTTTTTCATCTTTTTATTTTAGTTATTATCTCCATCTACTCTTTAAAAAAAGCCTACAATCCCTGTACGTCGTTTTTTATGAATGTGTTATGACCCTTTGAAACATAGCCTGCGTTGTTTTGGGCCAGTTTGTTAATACTGTAGATTTTGAAAAAAATTACTTAACTGTTACAAAAAATACATGAGTGTTTTGTAAATTGTAATTATACAAGTGTTATCGGTTCTAAAAAATAGTGTAACAGCATTTGATAAGTTGTGAGGTTGAACTGTTGTGGGTAGTTAAGACGATTGTAATTAATAATCTTAAATTAATCTATAAAGTAATTAATAATTGATAATTATTTAGAAAATAAAAATTAATATATTAATAATATAATAATAACGGATAAATTATCATTCATGAGTACATTAGTAATTAAACTATATATAATAAATGAATATGCTAAATAATTAAAAATAGTAATTAATAATTAATTATTAATTATTAATATGTTAGTAATGTACTCATATTTATTAGATTATAACTAAATAATTAGTGTATTAAGAAAAATAATTAGTATATACGTAATTTATTAATGTTCCTTTTACAATTTAAATTATTAACTTTTAGTTACATAATTAAATAATTATTTAATTAATTACTAATGTTTATTTAATAATCTATTATTTGATATATCACATATCAATTTTTAGTAATTATTCTTTTTATAATGATTAATTACTAATTATCAATTATCAATTATTATTGATTAATATATTACATATTGATAATTATAATTTAATATTAATTATTAATTAAGTAATTACTATTTATTTTTTATTTAC